AATATTGAATTGGAGGATCATTATGGAGACGCCTATCCCTAACAAGGGATGTCCACCAATACATGGCATGACCTTGAAAGCTTAAAGTGGCTAGGGATACTTTTCTTTCTTCACTCACTTGATGGCAAGTGAAGATTTGTTCAAACTTCATCTCCCAATCAAGGTACCCCTCAACATCATCTTTGCCATGAAAATAAGGGAGATCTACCCTAGATTCCCTTGCTTTGGGGGTCCTATGAACTCTTCTAGGAGGTTGTTGATAGTGATCACCTAAGGCTAGGCTATCATCATGCAAAGAATCCCTTATGGTTGAACAATGAGTTTGGGAGCTATGTCTACTTCGGTGTTTGTGGTGTAATTTTTCTTCTTTTTCCTTTAACAAACGAATTTCCTCCTCCAAAAGAGCAAGTTGAGCCTCTCTTTCAAGTTTTTCTTTTAGTCTTTATTTAGCCTCTTGCTCTTTCCAAATTTTGAGTGATCTTAATTCATGTGTTACTTTTGTCATGTCATTGTAATCACTTGAATTACTATCACTTTGAGAAGTAGAAAATTCTTCCATTATAGGAGAAAGGTTTTTTTTGATAAAAGAAGTTCTGAAAGCAATTTTTAAACAAGGTTAAGACTAAGTACTTGGAGGACTAGGTATACAAATTGAACTTTGGAGGGAGGTGAGCTACTAAGAGCCACTTAATAACCAAGCATCTTCAAGTAAAAATTGTTGAGCCTAGGAGAGCTTGAAGCTTAAAGGAGTTTTGATGATCACAACATGTGTGTACAACAACTTATGATCACAATGTGTGTGTGTACAACAACAACTTGGAAGCACAAAAACAAAGTCAAAGAGAAGTCAAAGAAAATGCTATGTAATAGGAATTAGTGTATAAATTGTTTTGATTGGTTTAGTTTGTTGTGTATGCTGTGTGCATGAGAAAAATCTATATCTAAGCTAAGTAGAGAGTGTATGATGATGAGTTGAAAAGATTGGAAAGTTATTTTGAGACTTAAAACGAAGTTTTGAAAACTAACTCAAAATAATCGATTATCATTAAATCTAATCGATTATTCCAGCAACAGGCAAAATGGGATGCCTTGCTGCAATAATCGATTATTTGCCAAATAATCGATTATCCCATAAATAACTCTCTGGAATAATCGATTATCCAGCAAAATAATCGATTATATTGTTCTTGGTTGGTTTCCAGAAAACCTGAAGAACAAAATAATCGATTATTCTTTAAAATAATCGATTATCTGCGTCTGAGACTTTTATAAATAGTTTGAACTTTTAGAAACTTCAGACATGAGTTAGAACTGATAATCAAATTGAGAAAAGCATTTTTTTTAGTCTTTGTGACCATCTTAGAGAGTTTTCTTTGTGAAATCCATGAGTAAAAATGTTTGTGAAAAACTTTGTTAGAAGATCATCATCATCATCATATTCTTGAAAAGGGAAGATTAAGATTTGCTTCTGAATTCCAGGTGAATTCGTTCCTTTATTCTGTGTGAATACTTGTAAATCTTGAGAAGGGTTTCTCAAGTGGTAAGGTTCTTGTAGTGGGTTTCTACAAGGGGTACTTTCTTGGGGTCAAGAAAGTGGTTATCTTTAGTGTTGAAGTATATGCATGTGTGTGTGCTTGTAAACCTTCTTCATTGAGATAGTGGAACAAAGCTTGATCAGGTGCTAATTGAGGACTGGATGTAGGTCACATGTGGAGTGGCTGAACCAGTATAAAAGACTTGTGGAATCTTCTTCTACCTTATCTTTTACTTTGAGTAATTTCTTGGTTGAGCATTAAAGAAGATAATTCTTTATTAACATGTGTATGTGAATATTGATGGTTTAATCTGAATTTAAAGAATTGCATTTGAACCTCATTATTTTGTAATCAAGAAAGCATATTGCATTTATACTTCTATAACAAGTCTTTAAAGAAGCTTCATTTGAAAATTCAGTCTTAGAAAAGTTTAAGTGAAATAAAGATCCTAAATACTCTGAAAATTTTTAAAAGGTCATAGAATCCAATTCACCCCCCTCTTGGATTGTGCCATTCTTAATTTACTAATCCCCCTTGTAGTTAATCTCCACCAAAATCTTTTCAATGAAAATTATTTTTTTGTGATTTGTGAACTAAGATAAACTAGACGAAATAAAGCAATTAAATCAAGTATGATTGCAAGAATTTAGAACCAGCTAAACGTTGTCCTAGGGTGAGAGCTTGAGAGGTGCCAAAGACCAATCAAGGACCACTCTCACCAAGTCTAACGAAAATTAGAAACCTAAGAAGAGATTGTTGTGTACGAAAGACACACCCAAGACACTCCTAAAAATGGCCAAATTACAATGAATTACAAACTGAACAGCAAAGGAAACAAGTGGCTTCAAGATAATTTAAAAACAGCCACCAAAATTAGTGAGGGATTAGTGACCAATTTTGCAACAAAAATTCAAAGTAGTAAGGAAAATTTGGTCTCTAAATCCGTCACTAATACTCTATTTTTTTTTTATAAAATTCAATTACAAATCAAATTGAACTCCAATGTATCTCCTCGGATGTGAAAGTCCAGCAGCCACAAAAAAATTCCAGCCAACAAAGTTTTGGTGTTTCAAGTCTGGTAGCCAAATCCGAGAGCACTCTTTGTTCCTTCCTCCTCCTTTTCTTAGTCCTCTTTTGATGACCCTTGTAGAACTAGCTTATAAGGAGATAGGCTAGGTCAAAACTTAGGTCACATTTGAGTACCAAAATGTACATAAACAGCAAAGAGATTTGAGAATTAAAGAAGACAAGAGTAGAGTTTAGGAGAAGACAATATAGATGAGCAAAGAACAAGAATTGGCTAGGACAAGAAGGAATTAGCCTAGATAGGATCTAGAGTTGATTCACAAAACCAAAGCACTCAAAATATGTAAGCTGAAAAAAAAAATTGTAGACACAAGATGCAATGTAAAAAACCAAGAACTTTGAACAATTTCAACACAAATCTCCTTATATGGCTTTTACTTTGAGTAATTAGGTTTAGCTATATTTTTTTTTAATCACTTTGCTTTTGCATTTTCTTTTAAACTTTGTTATATTTTTTTTTTATCTTAGGAGATGCCTTTTTCTTTGAAACAATATGCAAACACACACTCTCGGTCACACTTAAATTGAAACACCAAAACCGGTTCAAATTTGAATTGCAAATGGCAAGAAAATTAGGTTAAGATGTAATGTAAATGAAACATGCTTTTTTTGTCCTTGCTTGTTTGTTTAAGAAAAATAGGTTAAGATGTACGTAATGTAAATGATGAATACAAAGCGAACTATTCTTTCCCCTTTTACTAAAGAATACCGTGTATTCGTCATTTACAGCGGCATACGCTTATTTTTGGAAGAGTCTTCCTTAAGAGGACTCTGAGTTCTTGATGAGGTTCCACTTATGAATCCTCAAGAATACCTTCAATCCTTCTCGGTTCCTTGGAAGAGTGGCAAGGAGAGAAACTCCAAGAAGCAACAATGTGACCTATGCTTGCTCAAGCTAAATCCGGAAGAAGTAAAAAGGCAACCTAGCTCTACAAAGAGAGGAGCTCAAGGAGGGTAGAGGTAGGTTGTGTGAGTGACTTTCGGAGAGGAGAGAATACAAAGAGAGAAATCTCATATGTATATTCCAAAAGTGAGTACAAGTCTCGGCCACTTTGAATTTATAGGGAATAATTAGGTTAAAGGAACCATGGGTTAGCCTAAGGTTAAGTGAAACCATGGTATGGTTTACTTAACCTTAGGCGCCCAAAATTTGAATTCAAAATTCAAATTTTGGAGCCAAACCCGGAATCACACCATGTGCACCTCATTTGGAATGTGATTTAGCTTTCATTTGAGTTGCATTTCGGTCACACCATGTGCATGTGTTGCAAATGGCCGAAATGCATTCCAAATGTAAAGCTAATTACATTCTAATGCAAATACACATGCAACCCTAAATAAACCCTAAATTCAAATGACCATTAAATGAAAAACCTAATCTAAATGGCCAGAAATACAAGGCCTAAAAGAAATACAAGGCCCTAAGGCCCAACCCTACACTACTCCTACTCTACTTGGGCTTGAGTCAAAGCCAAACTAAACAATGTGATGGGCTTTCCTTGAGCTTGGGCCCACTCCTCTTGGATCCTCTTTGCCATAGCCCTAGTAGTTGGGCCCTTGGCCCATGGGCCTCCTCCATCAAGAAAAGTTGGGGACATATGGTGAAGATATATGTCCTATGTTGAGATACATAGTACAAAGGTGATAAGTTGAAAGTTATTTTAAAGTTGAAAGTTATTTTAAAGTTGAATCCCTTAGTACTGTGTGGGGGACATGGAAGTAGTTGATCCATGTCAAGGTTGAATGACCAATTTGAGTAAGGTATCTAGTTAGAGATGTAGTCTTTGACTAGGTACTGGAGGGTAAGTGGTACTTGGAGGACAGTGGGTGGGCTAACTCCATATGTGGATTGGTGATGCTAGCCAAAGCCGTGGTAGGCTCATACCCAAACCCTTCTGTCCTGACAGTAGTACTGGACCTCCGAGTCTAAGTGGCACACCTGAGAAATTGCCTATTGTTGTCTATACCTGGTTCTCTTCAGAGTTCCTAACATTGTTCTATACCTGACCTAGTTAAGATAGGTCAAACATTGGATTTGGTAGGGTTTATGCCACCTAGACTGCTCAACCTCAGTTGTTGGAGATCTCTGAGTTGAAATGTGTGACGACGCATAAGTTGTTGATGAGTTGATTTGTTGTTGATATGAGTTGTATATGTTATTATGTTGTCAAGCTGTGATTGTGTTGTATGTTGACCCTGTTGAGGATGATGATAGTGTTGTTATGTTGTAAGCGATTTTAAACATGTGTTGTTGAAAGATGTGTAATATATGTGTTGTTTGTCTTCTGTGTCGGATGTGAAGATGATTATAGTTTTTATGCTGCATATTTGATATATATGAGTTGTTTATTGTCTCTAGCTTACCCTTGCATGTTTCCATGTGGTTTGGACTGAGATGATCATACGTTGTATGGGAGCAGGGCATGGATAGGCTGGGAGATAGCTGCTAGAGGCCACAAGAGGTGCCTGGAGATGAATATTTTTTTGTAGGCTACCTTATAGTAGCATACTTTGTTGTATATAATTTATTTTTTGTTGGTTGCTTGATTAGAAACTTGTATCATAAATATTTTATTATAGTATTTTAGTATAAATATTTCAGTAGTGTGTAGTGTTATTTCCTAGTGTGACGGCCACGGCGGGTCGTTACACTTTTATGGTATTAGAGCAGTTCGAGTTTAGTGGACACTCTGTGGGGGTGGTCCCTCTAGGCTTTTGTTGCGTTGAACTTTGTGTTGTGTTGGATGTTATGTTGATTTGTGTTGAGTAGTTGAGATGTAGTGTGTTGAATGAGTTGTTCAATTTGCAGAAGATGCTTAGAACATGAGCAGATAGCCCATGCCATGGAGATGATGGCTATGGCTATGCAACAGGGGAATGCCTACTTTGCTAGGATGGATGCTGAGCCAGCTGCGACTAGTGCCGCAAGACCAGTTGGGTCATAGGAGAGTCGGGTTTTGGCTGAGTTCAGGAAGTGTAGTCCTTCTCAGTTTAGAGGTGATGCAGATCCGGAGGTGGTTGACCACTAGATCTGTGAGATGGAGAAGATGTTTACAGTGTTGAGGTATTCTCAGGAAAGGAATTTGGCTTATGTAGTGTATATGTTGATAGGGGAGGCAGAGTATTGTTGGAGAGGTGCTAGTCAAATGTTGAATGACCGTGGAGTGGTTGTGGACTGGGTGTGCTTCAAAAGGGCCTTCCTTGAGAAGTACTTCCCAGAGTGTTAGGCATGCTCGGGAGGCAGAGTTTATGAGATTACAGCAGGGGGAATGTCGGTGACCGAGTACGCCATGAGATTCGAGCACTTGGCACACTTCTACACTTGAGCCACCTCTAAGGCTTCGAAGTGTAGGAAGTTTGTTGAAGGCTTGAAGTATGATTTGAGGAGAAGTGGTGGTGCCTATGGTCATCACGGAGTTTCCAGCCTTGGTAGAGAAGGCGAAGGTTGTAGAGCGGTTAGAGAGTGTCAACAAGTCAGCGAAGATTGTTGGTGAGCCAGCTGGGTCCAAGAGTGGTGGTGGTTTTTAGAGGAAGCCCTATGATAGGCCCCAATCACTATAAGGGAGTCTTGTCACAAGGAAACCTATTGACACAACTAGGAGTGGGGGTTAGAGTGGAGCTGCTACTCTCAGATGTTATAGATGTGGTGGACCTCACTTCATTCGTGATTGCCATCATACCGAGAGCAAGTGCTTTAGGTGTGGCCAGATGGGTCACATGTCGACTAGTTGTCCTGTAGCTGTCAGACAGACCATGAGTACCCCGAGGGGTGATAGATCTACTGTAGTTGGGAGGGTGTTTGCCTGTATGTAATTTGGGGTTGAGATTGCTTGTGTCTGCGCACGCTTCTGTTTCTATTGTTGCCTCTAAGATATGTGTTGGTTGTCCCTTGGAGGTGTGTAATAGGAAGTATAAGGTGAACTTGATCTGTTTGTCTTTAGTGGATATTGACATAATCTTAGGCATGGATTGGTCATCTGCCAATCACATTCTTATAGATTGTGTCAATAGGGAGTTGATTTTTCCCTTAAGGGGGAGGATGAATTGTTGATTTCAGTCAGTCAAGCTGAAGTGATGTTGAGAGATGGAGCAGAGTGTTGTATTTTATTTGCTACTGTGAGTGTGGAAACTGAGAAGGTGATCAATAGGTAAGAGTTGTGAGGAAATTTTTGAAGGTGTTTTCGGACGAGGTGTCTGGGTTACCTCCTACTAGGGAGATTGAGTTTAGCATTGATCTGGTCCTTGGTATAGGGCTAGTGTTGGTTACTCCCTATAGGATGGCCCCAACAGAGTTGGTTGAATTGAAGTGTCAAGTGGAAGAGTTGAAGAGAAAGATTGACTACTTCTCCTATGTTGGTATTGCCTAATCCTAATGAGCCATTTGAGGTGTGTTGTGATGTTTGTCACCTAAGGTTGGGGTGTATGTTGATGTAGAATAGGAGAGTAGTTGTATATGCTTTAAGGCAATTAAAGAATCATGAGAGGAATTACCCTACTCATGATTTAGAGTTGGCAGCAGTTGTTTCTTTTGCCTTAAAGGTATGGATGCACTGTTTTCATAGTGCAGGATTTAACATCTTTGGTGATTACAAGAGTTGAAGTACTTGCTTGATCAGAAGGAATTGAACATGAGACAGAGACAGTGGATGGAATATTTTAAAAGATTATGAGTTTTAGTTGATGTATCACCCTAGGAAGGCCAATGTAGTGGCAGACGCTTTGAGTAGGAAGTTGATTCACATGTCTAGTTTGATGGTGAAGGAGTTGGAGCTGGTTGAGAAATTCAGAGATTTGAATCTGTATGTGGAGTTGGCTAAAGACCACATTAGTTGTGGCATGATTACCATTGCTAGTGAGTTCTTGTAGCAAGTTGGTATGAAGTAGTTGTAAGATTCGGAAGTTGTGAAGGTTCTTAATTTTTTGGATACAGAGAAAGCAGTTGGCTTTGAGATGGGTGAAGATGGGATTTGAGGTTTAAGGGCAGAATTTGCCTACCTCAAGATTCTAAGTATAGAGGGACATTGTTGAATATATGGCAGCCTGTCTGACCTGTCAGAAGGCTAAGGTTGGGCACCAGAAGTCTGGTGGTTTAATTGTAGATGATGGAGATCTTGTAGTAGAAGTTGGATAGTATCACTATGGATTTCATTGATGGATTGCCTAAGTCGACTAGGAATAGTGATGCTATTTGAGTTGTGGTTGACAGATTGACCAGGTGTGCACATTTCTTGCCTGTCAATATCAAGTGATCCTTGGAGAAGTTGACACAGTTGTATGTGAAGGAAATAGTACGGTTGCACTGGGTGCCTTCTAGTATTATTTCAGATAGGGATCCGAGGTTCACTTCCAGATTTTTGGCAGAGTCTACACCAAGCCTTAGGCACGAGGTTGAGGTTGAGTTCTACTTATCATCCACAGACGGATGGTCAGTTAGAGAGGACAATTCAGTCCTTGGAGGTTTTGCTGAGAGCTTGTGTGCTAGACCACTTGGAGAGTTGGGAAAAAGTTTTACTACTGGTAGAGTTCATGTATAACAATAACTTTCATGCTAGTATCATGATGGCATCGTTTGAAGTCCTGTATGGTAAGAGGTGTAGGACTCCTATGTGTTGGTACCAAAATAGTGAATCAGTGGTTGTGGGGTCGGAGTTAGTCCTACAGACTACTGAAAAAGTAAAGTTGATTCAAAAGAGTATGAAGACTGGCCAAAGTAGACAGAAGTCATATGTTGATAAAAGGTGGAAGCCTTTGGAGTTTGCTGAGGGGGAACAT